AATGAAAATCTGTATTTTTATTAATAATAATGTGACGATAAAATGACACCGTTTAATTTTATTTAAATCCATAAAAAAATAAAAAAGTATTTACATCTTATACGACTTGTTGTTTTTGATTCTTGCTGCTTGTTTTTTTTTTTTTTTAAACAGTGTGTGTTTGGTCAAGTGGTTGCCATGGCGACCCGTTCCCACGACAGCCACGTGTAACCTGAGCCCGTCAGTCAGGTCGGGCAGGTAACCGTGACGATCAGCAGGTGTGTGAGGAGGCAGGGCCAGAGGAGACGAGGAAGCTGGAAACGTCTGAGCATTAATGATCGACTCTGTCAGATAAAAAAAACTAAACAGAACCAAACTAAAGCTGGAGGACGAGAAGGAGCCTCGGGCCGCCGAGGCCGCCGAGGCCGCCGAGGCCGCCGAGGACGATGGGACGTTCACCAACATCTCTCTGGTGGACGACGCAGGTACGACGCCGGTTCCTCACAGTTCAGTCGTTTATTTTAACGTGCACAAAAACCAACAGCAGCAGGTTTTTCTTAGAACCTGCAGCGAAGATCTGATTGTTTAGTGAGGAGCTAAACCGGTCAAATTAAATGGTTTTAAATGTGTTTTATACAGAAAAACAGCCACAAACCAGATTATTGGTCAGAAATATGAAACGTGCTCTCCATGTGTGGAGTGACTTTTGGTCTAAACTCTCAACATACACTGTAAAAAATGAGTGTTTTTAAAAAACTGCTTTTAACTGTAATTTTTTGGGATGAATTTGGCTTCAAATTCCCAAAAGAAATCCTTATTTTAAAGATATTTACAATTATTTGAAAGAAATTGTAACTGAAAATGTTTAATAAATATTTTAACTGTAAAAGTTTTTTTTGTGCTTTGTTAAATTTCAGATAATTGCTGGAAAAATAGCAGAAAAATGTATTAATTAATTTTTTGAACTGTAGAAAAGAAAATAAAACTTTATTTAACTGCTGATAATAATTAGTAAAATCACAGAAAAAAGTATTAATTCACATTTTAACACTTAATAAGCAAAACTGTAAATGATGTCAACATTAAAAATCTTTTTTTAAACAAATAGTATTTTTCTGTTTACAACATTTAACCATAATAGTGAAATGTTTGTATTGAAATCAGTGAAAATATAATTATTTTACAGATATTTGCCATAATTATAAAGACAAATTTAATGTAAATTATTGTTTAAAAACTGTAAATGTTTAACTTTTATATTTAATTTACAGATGATACCACAAAAAAAAATGCATCAGTCTATTTGTTGACTGTAAAAGTTCAGCTGCACATAATATTTATAAATGTTTTTTTTTAACAGTGTTTGATGTTAAAATCTCTGTTGCGCCTGTACGTAGCTCAGCTACAGTACTGGAGATATTTGCTGCTATTTTTGCAGTTACAGTATTCCACCATTTTTAAAATAGTTTTTTTTTTCTCCGGCACCCTTTTGTTTTTTAAACAGATTTTTTTTACAGTGTAGTGAAGCAGCTGATTGGTCAAAGGGCGACGCAGCAGAAACACGGCAGCTCGTAAACCAGAGCGGTTAACGAGGCGTGTCGCTTTGTGTCGATTTGTTTTAACAAGTCGCTGAATAGCGTCGCTCTGATTGTCAGAGTTCAACATAATCTGCTGTTCATACGTTTATCTGCACTTTGCAGTTGTTTTGTTCAAACTGGGTCAAAACTAAAATGGGTTTTAAACTTTTTATTACTTCTCAAATAGATGATTGTCTCTCAGTTTAATTTGTTCACATTTCACAGCTTCAGACTGAGACGTGTGTGTCAACGTGTTTCCCATCAGCCCACAGGCAAATAAATAAAAGACTGAAAGCAACAACATTAATAATAATAATATTATTATAAAGCTACTGGTGCAACGTGGTCGACAGCATTTTAATGTTTAATATCATAGCTCATGTTGCTGCCCGATCACATCCGGTCTGTGGCTGAATTCTGTTTTAATTCATTTTGATGGTGAAATTTGAACACAATCTACATTTAAGCCCTTTTCTTAAGAACTCTCTTCGAGTGCATCGGATCAGTTTGCGACGGCGAACTTACTGGTCAGACCAACATTTTGGTTTCACTTTCAGACAGACACGCTTTGACTGAACTTCGAGTCGTGTGAGGTGGTTTGTAGGAAACTACATCCACGTTTCTGCACCAATACTGATGCAAAATGATCACAGCTTTCTGCCACAATCACTCATTTTAATCCACAACCACTTGCAAACTGACTTTTATGTGCGTAGAAATAACAAAAACGTACTTCAGACCAGCAGGTCAGATAAAAGAACGTCGTCCAGGTTTTGACCGACAGCAGCTGAAGTTTAATTTGTCGCTTCCAGATGTTTAGAACTATTTCCTCTGAGTCATTAAAAACCTGCAGCAGGATCCATATGACAGAGCTGTGAGCATTAACAGTAGCCTTATTAATGATAAACTGTTCCTGACGTGGAGACAGGACTGATCGGGATCCAACACGAGTCACGCTAAATATTTAGTGACACGGCGGCGGTCCTCGGGTCGAGCTCCGTCACAGCTGTCGGACATTTTTATTTTACCGAGTCAGATTATCATCACATGTGGACAGAGGAAACCATGAGCGAGTTATTTTTGGCGGTTTGCTGATGACGATGGTTGTTTTTTTATTAAAGACGAACAGAAATAGAGCAGATAACGAGTAAAATCACAGATAAATGTATGAATATTTGATGGTAAACGTTTCCTCGTGTCTTCACTGTTCATCCTACGGTTCAGACATTCAACACTTTCAGCCGATCAGTGAGCGAACCTCCAACACCGGCGCTCTGCATGCAGCTCAGTGTCACAGCTGCTCCTCAAAACTAATATATTCCATTCACAGCCGGAGAAAAACGAGCTCCAGCGACTGACCAGGTTGAGCAGAACCATCGCTCCAAGCCTGCCAGAGAACTCTGCCTCCAGATTTAAGAGGAGCTCGTCTCCGTAATCAAATCGGCACATCTTCTGTGTGGTCGGCTTGATTTGGTTTTGCAAGAGAGAAGAGAAGCAGAAACTATTCTGTCGTTTTGCTGCTCGGTGCCGTCGGGTTTGTTTCTATAAAACTCACAACTGAAAACTATTACTGCTCAGTAGAAGGCAAAGCTCTGCAGCCATCTGTGCGTTTCACGGTGACCTCCGATTCCAGCTCTCCGGAGGTGGAACGATCCGTCAGCTTTCAGCAAAACATTCAAGAATACACACCAGCGTTAGCATGAGGCTAAAAGAGCAGCTCGACCTGTTGTGTTTCCTCATAAATCTGAACGATCCAAAACCAGCCGACAAGCAGCGAATTCAGAATTTAACTTTTACAGCCTGGTCCGACCTGCTGAAGCCTCTCAGCCATAAACTCTCATGAAAACCTCGTTTGCATTCCCGACAGTTAGAGTCTGTTAGAAGAGAGAAGCTCCTCCTGGTGCTCTGCTGAGATGTTTACATGTAACCTCGTTGTTCTTATTGTGCCGCTAAAAGTCTCGTCACAGAGCTCCACATGGAAACAAAGTGCAGGAACCTGGGAGTGAATCCAGACTCTGAAAGGCCTCAGCAGGCTGGAACCCAGAAGCTTCTCGCTCTGAGGCCACAGTTCAAACCGCTCAGCTGGAAACTCCAGAAGAACTGGGATTAGTTTGTCTAAACTTGTGGAGCTCTGATGGGCAGCGCTTCACATCATTCTGACTCCCAGCTGCTGCCGTTCAGGTCCTTCTCGTTGGATGTTTTCCAAAATAAAACTGCAAAAATCTGAGCAGGTTAGCTCGTGTGTTTCCCTCTCAGATCACCTTCTGCAGTCGGGCTGAACGGTTTAGGATCCAGTGTTATCAGGTAGCGCTGAATAATTAATCGAGCTCACGTCAAAACTGAAACAATGCAGTTAGCAAACTGCAAAGGCTGCAGTTCAGGCTGTGCACCGTGAGCGCTGGCCGACCTGGGGTTGGACATCAGCGCTCACACAGGAGGAACATGTTGTAGTTTAATGAAATGAAATGAAAAATACTTTATTTATCCCAGAAGGGAAATTCAATAAGAGGCTACAATCAGAGAGTTACTCAAACTGAATAATCTATCATCAATATATCTGGTGAATACGTTAACGGTAACAACTCATCGTCACTGCTTTTATGTTTCTCCTTTTACTGGACACAGAAGTCTGTGGTAGGAACAGACAGACGGGGAACTGATGACTTATTTCAGGCTTCAGCTGATTCCTACAGGACTGACACCGTTTAAAATCTTGTTTTTCTTTACAGAACAAACCACGTTGATTTTAACGATAGGTTTTGCATAAACTCAGGTTGAATCCATTTCTACCAACCACCTCTTCCTGCTGAGCATCTAACTGACTTTAAATTCAAACTGCAAAGGCTGCAGTTCAGGAAACGCATCATGAAAGACGTCCGACCCAAAGTTCAAACTGTCACGTCGGTGCTTTTACAAACTCCTGCTGTCCTCCTCGTCCTCCTCGTTGCACAATAACTGTCAGAAAAATGGGATATTTTCTGCAGACTCTCAAATCTTGAGGCTGTTTTATCTCTGAAGCTGACCTGGGAGGTGACAGAGTACAGAGAGGGAAGCAAAGGCAGGCAGATAGACTGCTGGCTGCAGCAGCAGCACAGTCCCCAGGGTTCGCTTTGGCTACAAGCAGCAGCATATGGACTCCTCAGAGCGAGCACAGGCTGCACATTCACATGCATGCAGACCGGCCAGTGTGAACATGAATGTAAGCATGCATGTATGTCCCTTTGCATGCATGCTTACATCAGTGCATGCATGCATGCGGACAGACAGACAGCTGGACGCACAGAAACACAACCAGTGGGAAGGAATCTGCTGCAGCTGCACGGTTCTGTGTGTGATCTGCTACCAAAGGGAGCATCTGTTTGACTGCGGTAAATCTGTTCGTACCGTGTTTGGAGGGTCGCTCGCCCCCTGTCGGCCGCTCAGCGCGCTTCATGATGATGTAGATGGGAGAAGCTCAGCTCTCCTCCTCCTGCTGCTGCTCCTCCTCCTCCTCAGCATCAGCGCTGTAGTCTGTTTACAAGGTAACTCCGCCAAACGGAGAAGACATTTATTTGCCTTAGGTGAGTTAAATCGCCAAATAGCTTGTGATTATTTAAAAACACCGAGCAGGCAGCTGTTAATACACACTGAATTTGAAGCTAAAGCTAGCTAGCTAACCGTAACAGTTAGCTAGTCCGAGGTTCTAGCTAGCAGTTAGCCTGTTAGCCGCTATAAAAATATATTCATCAGCCTCGAAATATGAGACGTGGCAATATTGTTTCGTTTGCTTACTTCACGTAAGACACTAACCTCGGATTTGGTGTCAAAGTAGTTACGATGCAGGTTCGTTTTTTAATTTTTTTTGCTAGCTACAAAGCTAACTAGCTTATTAGCTAACGCATATGCGTCCATTATCGGACACGTTTGATTCGTTGTTACATGTTGACAACCTCAGAGGTGTCTGTCCGATAATACAACACCGCGCTAACAGCTGCGTGTTGTCGTCGTTTAATTGTGGCGTCGCTGGCGGTTCATATTTATGGATATATCCCAAAAAACGACACCATTTGCGGCTATATTTAGGGGAGTGTTGTGGCTCCTAACATGCGCCTCTTGGCTACCTCTGCTGGCCGTGTGGGTCCCGGCTGGGCGCGGCGTCTGCTGCCTCCGTCGGCCTCCTCCACCTGGACCCTGATGGAGCTGCAGCTCGTTAAAGTCACGGTTCTGTTTGTCTCGGTTAGGTTCAGCAGAGAGGTTTAAAAAATAAAATAAAAATAAATCCCTAAATTAACAGTTTTGTCACTTCTCAGGTGTGTATTAAAAAAAAAAGAAGACTTGGACATGAGTTAAATTTGAATTTTAAAATGTTAAATTAGCCTCTAAACCCTCAAACAGGGTTTAAAATACATGTTCAAAAATTACAATTAAAAAATAACAACCAAAATTAGGCTTCATGTTGTAATATCACCTCTGAATTGGTTTATTCTGTGGGTCTGGGGTAATAATAAATAAAATAAAGCAGATTCAGTAAGGAAACTACAAACTGTACTCCTGGGTGTCTCCATAAACTAAAGTAAGACGAGGAAGCTTCCTGCTGAGCTGCAGGTGATTCACGTATGCAGGCAGCAGACGGGAATCAAATCAATAATGTAAATATTAAAATATCTAAAGTGCACATGTGGAGCTGCCGTTTATGTTCTCAGGATGGGGAAGGCCTTGGTAAAATGTCGTGCACGTCGACTCCAGGTTCTTAAATAAATGTATGGCTTTAAAACTGCACTAAAGACATTTCTAAGTTCTCTCCACGTCCAGTCCTGGTTGTTCTGGTTCCACTGAGCTGCTGGACTTCATGTGGCAGGAAAAAGACGACAGGTGCAGAAAACTTTGGTGGCGATTCAGAACTCAATGTGGAATCCTGCTTCTTCTTTTTAATCATCAGGTTTAGGAACCAGCAGCAGCCATGTGATATACTGATATATATGAAGATGTGAGATGTGAGATGTTAAATAACGAGACACGTGTGGTTAGTTCAGTTTAATTTAGTTGAAGCTGATTAAAACTCGCCCACTGATCAATGAGGCTACGGGGTAAATCGTGCACGCTGTGGTTGGACTAATCTGTTATTTAGTGGCCACATAATGCCTCTAAAACCCTCAAATTAAATCACAGTATCTGTCAGAAAAATGGCCCAAATCGTCTGGTTTTGGTGTCTAATGGGACATAACTGTTGCTGCTCTGCAACAGGAGAGACTCTGAGTATTTCCAGTGTCCATTAAATCCACCGACATAGAAATAAACCCTGAAGCCTCGTCTTTGCTGCTGTTTGTATGTCAAAGCCTAACGTGTTGCCGTTGTGTTGCAGCGGACGGTGGACCTGCAGCCCTGTATACTAAACAGGAGAACGAGCTTTCCATCATGAACTGCGACATCGACGGTACGTCCGCCTCCGCCGTCGCCTTCGCCCGTTGACGGTCGTGATGGTTCGCGAGTAACGCCGGCGGTTGTGTGTTTGTTTCAGGAGACATGGAGAACCAGGTGGAGATGGAGGAGAAGACGAGGTTAATAAACCAAGTCCTGGAGCTTCAGCACACACTGGAAGGTAACGAAAGCTCTCACGCCGGGTTTAACTTTACTGCTCCCAGGTGGAGGAACCGACCTCCTGGTTAATAAAGAGCCCAAGAAGAAGAAGTCGTGTGACGTTAGAGGACTCCTAAAAACTTTAACTTAAAGAAACCTGCAGCTCTGAAACCAAAGCCCTCCTGGTTTCTTTGCTTTCAGAAACAGATTAAAACATCCCATCTCCATGTCTCAGCTTTAAAACACCGGATGTTTCCGTCTGCTGCTCTTTTATTTCTCATCTGGTCCACCTGAGCTCGTGCTGTCGCTCTTCTTCAGCTTCGTTTCAGTCTAAACAAAGTCCTCATGATGCTCAAACCACCATCCTGTTGGTCGACTTTAATGGGTTTTGACCAATTAATCACAGACAGAAGTCGATTTTGCACAAATCTCTGATAGCTGGACGTCTGTTTTTCCTTTAAAAAGCACATTTTAGAAATAAAAATGATTTATATCGTGTGTTTCTCCTGTAAACACAGAGTGCAGCAGATTTTCAAAGCTTCATGGCTCGTTTTTCACTGACATCTACTCTTAAGGAAACAGAACAGGAATGTATTTCATGCAGTATGACAGCTAGAAATAAAAAACTTGGAATCAGCAGGTTCACATTTCCACAGGTGCTGGAGGGAAAATGGTGATAAACTGTATATCAGCGGTTCTCAAACTTTTTGAGCCACGACCCCCAAGACAACATAAGTTTGTGTTCGTGACCCCCCAAAATTTGAATTTTTAATATCTCATGAGTGATAACTTTGTTGTTTATGCATTAATGCGTTAATATTCTGGATATTCGTCACTATTTGGGACCGAATGTCCGGAGATCAGAAATCACTATTCGGACCAGCCCTAGAGCCCGGCCACCCTGCAGAGGAAGCTCATTTTGTATCTGTGATCTCGTTCTTTCGGTCGTGACCCAGAGCTCGTGACCAGAGGTGAGGGTTGGGACGTAGATGGACGGGTTGTTCACGAGTGACGGGACAATGGAGGTGGACCGGCGGCTCGGTCAGCAGTAATACGGGCGCCGTGCCGGACCGTCCATCTACGTCCAACCCTCACCTGGCTGTAACGTGTAGGAGATAAATAAGAAGCAGTTACAGGTCAGATAGAAACTAAACTGTGCAGAACTATAATAATGATCCTGTTTAAAAGCTGTAACTCATCTTATTAATGTATTTTTATTTTAAAGAGCTAAACTGTGATTAAACCTGGTTTCTGTGTCCCAGACCTGTCAGCACGAGTCGACGCCGTCAAGGAGGAGAACCTGAAGTTGAAGTCGGAGAACCAGGTGCTGGGCCAGTACATCGAGAACCTCATGTCGGCCTCCAGCGTCTTCCAGACCACCGACACCAAGAGCAAGAGGAAGTGAGCCCCCCGTCGGCAGAGACTCCCCACCGGGGCGGCGGCGGCGGGTCGGTGTCCTCGGCAGACCTGGGCCTCTTCTCTCTAACCGCCTCCCTGAGTCTAATTATCAGCTAGCGGACTCTTCTCACCCCGTCGGCTCAAAGATGATGCGGCCCAGGGCTTCCCTTCGACACTACAGACGAGTCGGCAGACCCTTTAAAACAGAATAACCCCGACTCTCCTCCTTAACCGTCTGTTTGTAAAATAACTCTTAGCTCTGTTTTTTTATTTCTTTTGTTTTCTGACAAACTGACCCCAAATGAAAGCTAAATGTTGACCCTCATCGCCGACAACACTCGTTTTATTTATTACCGTTTGTGTTTTGTACGACAGCTGGATGGAGTTTCCGTCGGTCTCGGGTGTCATCTGAAAGCTCGACTGTATTCCTCCGCTTCTCAGCAGTATTATGGAGAATGATAAATGTACTAGGAAGGCATGTGTTCGTGATATATCTCTCTCTCTCTCTCTTTTTTCTTTTTTAGCATATCTAATAAAACGCCATTAAATCACTGTATAAAGCTACTGCTAATCACTGGTAGGTGGGTTCTAGATGTACAGGCACCTTAGAGAGCTCATAAGCTAAAGCACAGACTAACAGCGGCGACGTTTTTATGGATTTATTCATGTTGTCTTGCAGCCCCTTTAAATTTAGCGTTTGGGCCTAAAGCCCACACCGTAAGGTCATAAAGGCAGCAGAGGCAAAGTGTTTTAATCCAGCGATGGAGGGAAACAGAGAGACGCTTTCTCCCGTTAACGGCCAGAACAAAAGCAGCAAAGCGGCCTTGAGTGCTATCGATCCGCTGATGGGTTTCACTGCCGCCGCTGCAGCAGCGAGGAGGGGTGACGTTACTCGATCCCTTTAAACTGGAGCTGATCGGAGGAGGAAGCGAGCGAGGGAGGGAGGGAGGGAGGCTGTGAACTCTGTATATGCTGTAATTTATTGAGGTTATTTTGATATTTGTACAGTTTCACCTGCACACATCCCGGTTCCATCTCGTCCTGTGTGTAGAAGCTCGTTGGCCTTCGAAATGTTGTTTGGTTTGTTTGTTTTAATAAAACCCTGAGATCACTGCTTGGACTTTTTTTTTTTGGACTAGAAGGAGCTCAAACATGACGAGTTCTGCTGTAAATCGAGGCAGAAATTAAAGTTGAATTTCATTTTCACAACCTCTAAACGCTCACACGGCTCTGGACTGATGTTTGCTGCTCTGTTTAGGTTTGATTTTGCTCTCAGACTCTGCAGTTAACTGGATAAATCAGAGTTTTGTCACGTCGGTCGGGTCGATGAAAGCTTCTTTGCTGCCGTGAACGGTTTGGCGAATGTTTTTAATGCGACGTAAAGAGACTCTGATGGTGGTTTTTCCTTCCTGTCCATCCATCGAACACAGGAAGTAGAGCGTCTTCAGTTTCACGCTCTGATAAATGCCGTCGTTCTGTTTTCTTTGGGTTCGGAGAAAAACGCGTCTCATTTAAATCGTATTAAATAATTTTATTTCCAAGAGCAATGTACAATTTGCAAACAAATGTAAACAGGGAATCCACCAGCATGTGGCAGGAAGGTGAACTACAAAAGCTCCAGACAATAATAATAATAATAAAAAACAAACAGATCAGCCTCTTCCCCAGAACCAGTCGAGACGTTCTGGGGAAGCGCTGCCGACTCGACGAGACGCGTCTTCACAGATTCGATATTCAGCTTCACAAACCAACATCTCATCCTTGAAACATCACCTGCGAGCTTCAACGACGTCAGTTTTTCTTTGCTCAAGTACGTCTAAGAAAACTGTCTCAGAACACTGCAGTAGTAAATCTTTATTTCGAACCGGCGTAGAACAAATTAAAACCAATAAATAGGGCCGTCAGTGCTAATCCTCGACTCGCTATAACTTAGTAGAAAACACACAGAAAAGTAAATGATGCTCGTTACAAACTACCTAAAATCTAAACAGAACATCCATTTTTTTTATTTTTTTGCCCCCAGAGAGGTCATCGTGAAGCTGAGGCGAGCTTTTTCTGCGGAAACATCTCACGCAGACTTTTTTTTTTTTTTTGCTCACAGCCCGGCGTCCTCTTCCTGGTCTTGAAACCAACTTCAAACAAGAAAGGAACTTTTTTTTTGTCGAACGGCGTCCTTCTTCCAAAACAAGGACAACTTCTGAGACGTGCCCCCCCCCCCAGTGATATGCTGCAGGATGGAGCGGCGCCGGCGGGCCGACGCTCTGCTGCCGGCGCTCCAGACTGGTGGATCTACGAGACGGTATATTCGGAGAGAAGACCGACGGCGGGGCTTTTTTTCAGGCATTTCGACAGCGATGGCTTATAGACGGGAAAGGAAAGGATGAAGAGAAGCGTGGAGACGGAGGAGGAGGCTAAACGCTCCCCCGGGAAGAGTCTGGCAGCAGACGGGGGGAGAAACGAGACGATACAGGAAGTGGTGTGGGAGGCGGCGAACCTGGGATGGATGGATGGGGCAGCCGGGGTGACTGCAGGCTGCCGCTCGGTTCGGAGGAGATGCGATGCTGCTCCGCCCGGGGGGGAGGAGGGAGCGGCGGCAGAGGTTCAGCCGTCCACAGGCGGCAGGCCGGGGCTTCACCTCCTCAGTCTTTCCGTACCCTCCTCTTTCTGACGGCCTGTTTGTGGCTCTCCTCAGCGACGTCTCCGCCTGCCTTCGGCTGGAAGGAGAAAAAAAGGGACGACACTTTAAACATCCATCATCTCTACACCTTAATCCTCACTAGGGGGGCGGAGTCTATCCCAGCTGACTCAGGGTGAAGGCAGGTTCACCTGGACAGGTAACCAGTCTATCACAGGGCTACACTTAGAGACAGACAACCAAGCACACTCACATTCACACCTACGGACAATTTACAATCACCAATTAACCTCAGCATGTTTCTGGACTGTGTGGGAGGAAGCCGGAGAACCCGGAGAGAACCCACGCTGCACATAAAACAAGCAGTTTTTTTTTATCACGATATTAAAAAGTTTAATCAGACCCTGATTGTTGGAATATGGAGAAGCCCAAACAGTCACATCTTTACTCTCTGTGGGCTCATTTTGGACTCAACATAGGCTCAGTGTCGTTAATTATCACCTCCAGACTTGTTTAAAGACGCTCTGTTCTAAAAAAAAAAATTATGTTTATATGTTTTTAAATGGACAAAAAGGTCCAACTACCCGATTAGGAAATGTTCAAATGACGCCTGCATCTGCGTGCTTAGTGGGAAATTCAGAATCTATGGATACGCAAAGATTTTTCCAAAAGTTTCTGCACGTTTTTAATCACTGTGGACTCATTTTTCACTGCCGACAACAACCGTGACTAGAAGGAGAGAGAACTCAGTTTAACATACTTATGGTTGCCACGGATCACAAAACATTTATTTGATGATTTCTTTCACAAAAAATGTAAAACTTGCACCTTTTTTTCCATCTAAAAAGTCTTTTCTGCAATATGACAAAGTTAAAATGCCGTAAATCATAAGAAAAGTTAAATCACTACTTTATTTAAAACATTTTAAAGGAACAGAACCTGGACTCAACATGAATGAGGTTTTTTTTAAAGTGTTCACCAACACTGGAACAGACAGACGGCTCTACAGACTACAGATATTTCACCACTTAGATGTTTAACCTGTTTCCATCCTGATCTCCTCTCTGTGAACATAACCTGCAGTTCAGCTGAAAACCCAGAAGGTTTCTCACGTGGCTGTTGGTTTGCAGCTCTGATGACTTCACTGCTGCACCACGGATCAAATCATTTTGGGTTGGAGTAAATTATAATTATTTAGTTTTAGGGATGTCCGATATTGTCCCACTCTCAATCAACCGATACACGTTTGTTACTGCAGCCACACTTGTTTACATGCTTCATCATTTGCACGTCGGTGAAATCCAGGTTATTTTATCGATTTTCATTACAGGAAAAAAAAACAAAACAATAACGATATTGACAGATTTTACATTTTTACACCAATATTGGGCATTGGACATCCCTGATTTTTTTAAATAGAGAGATGGAGAACGAAGTGATTTCAATAAATATCACAACTTTAACTTCACATTTCGTTATTTTTCATAACAAAGCCACACGTGATGAGTTCAGGGACCGTCGCAACGTTGACAACACATTGATTTCTTCTGTTTTTACCATTAACGGTGCCATTTTGGTGACTTTTTAAAGCAAACGTGCCTCTCGAACCTCACAGCAGAGGTTTTATGATCCAGAGATCTTTTATTGCCAAGTGGAATAAAAAACAGGTTGTCATGACTCAGCACATTTCTCTCAAGGACGAGGACACGACGTCAGACAGGAAGCAGTCTAAACAGAGTCTGCAGGACGTTACAGATTAATGAACGAACCACTTTTATCAGGAGGAAACGTCTCCAACTGTAAACGCAAGAACTTCTAGATATTTTCTCGAGCTAATCGTCGGCTTGACTCTAATCGTGTTCTTTCATGTGGCCTAACGGACAGTGATGGTTAAATACTTTAACCGTCTGAACCCCAAACCTGCTGGAGTGTTTTAATATCTAAAAATAAAAGTAAATAAAACTAAATAACCCCAATTAACATAATTTTTCTGACTCAAACTGTAAAAACTGGAAAAATTGTTGGATTTTCAACTTTCCTTGAAATACAAACTCTCTTAAAATCACAATATTTCATCCAAAGCGTTTGTTTTCATGTCTTGTTCAAAAATATGCCAAAAACAAATACCGTTTACTCGAACCAGATGCTGTAAAAAAAACATAAAATTCTGTGCTTGTCCACAGATTTTCAGCTTTTTAAAAAAATTAAATTTATTATGCATGAACTCAGTTTTTCTGCTAAATTTAACCAAATCAAAGCTTAAAATCGTGACATTTTATCAGAATTACTTTATTCTCATTTTAAAATTTGCCAAAAATAAACTGCGTGTGCGAAACAGATCCAGTAGAAAACAAAAAATTCTGCATCCCTTGGTGCAACCAAAACACTGTGAGTGACTCATCTGCTACAAACAGTCACATGAGGAAAATTCTGGGACTTCTGGGCTGAACTGCAGGCAGTGTTCACACAGAGCAGATGTTATGTTTGGGTTTTTTAAATTGCTAAGTAACAGCATTTATTGGAGCCAGACTGTAAAAACAGACAGAACCAGAAGATTTTCAGCTTTTCAAAGGTCAATGATAAAAAAAGGGGACTTTTCAGTTGAACTGCAGGCAGCAAAGAGGAGACGAACACAGAAACAAATTCAAAATCAAAGTTGTAAAATATCTATCGTTGCTGTGGTTTTTCCCTCCCATCAGTACCGATAACATCTGTGGACACCTGGAACCATAATGTACAGGTCGAGTCCAGATTCTTTCAGCTTTTGTTCGATAAATAATCCCAGAAATTTAACTTTTGTTTTTCCTCCTGCACAGATTAAGAGTTAAGCTCTCGTTATGCTGCTTCCATACAGGTGCAGGAAGAAGAAGCTCTGAGTGGGTAACAGGAGTAAAGAAACTGCTTAGCGTTCACATTTTTAAGGTTTGAGGTTCGTTAACATGAAACGAGACGCGTCCCGAGGCTTCCATGAGCCCAGATGGCCTCAACAGGCCTCGAGAAAACCGAGAACTAAACGAAGAATTTGCAGCCCTGAGTTCAGAATCTAAAACATCAGCACGAGACAAACCGATGCCGCTTCACACCTCAGTGACGGAGATACCAACGTACATCCACCCACATCCCACCTCGTCTAGAAGTTCCTGATCACCAACCTCATCTTCTAATGTTCTCTCTGGAGCTTTGCTTTCCTCCTCCTCCCCTTCTTCCTCCTCCTCCTCCTCCTCCTCCTCCTCTTCCTCTTCTTCTTCCTCCTCCTCCTCCTCCTCCTCATCATCATCCCCCTCTAGATGGTCTCCTCCTGCCTCGTTGTCCTCCTCCTCGGCTTCTTCTGTAGCTTCAGAGAGAGAAGAGTTGAACAACGCAGCAGTAAAACTACGACACTGCCTGAATGCCTGTCCTGTGTTTGACCTCCGTCACCTGCAGCTGCTGCTCCGTCTGTAGCCTCGGCTGCTTTGTCTTCCTCGTCTGCTGCAGCCTCCTCCTCTTCCTCCTCCTCCTCCTCTTCCTCCTCTACGGTAGCCTTCGGCGTGTCCACCTTTTTGTACACGTAGTCATCTTCTGGTTTCTGAGGGGAGTTTCACTGCCGAGTTAGGAGGGATTTCTGGCGCACATGATTACAAACGTGCAGTAAAAGCAGCATGTTTTGGGTACCTTGGGCCAGCAGAAGAGCACGACCAGTCCGACGGGAAGGCCGACTGTCAGGATGTAGATCACCCAGAGCCACGGTCGCTCCTCGGCCGCCATCATCAGCTGAGCAAAAATCCCCGGCTGTTGAGACGGAGGACAAACAATGAAGCAGAGAGCAAACCGTGAGCATTTGTGTCGACTCCACTGTCTCTGGCAGAAACACGACGGCCCTGCTGTAAACTACGTGCATGCAGTGACACTACTTTGTTCCTGCGGCCCTTGAAGGGCGGCACGCTGACCTCGTTAGCGCTGGCCACCAGCTTCTTCAGCCCCCAGCTGTCGGAGGCCCAGCGGTCGGCCACCTCCTTGTGAGAGGTGATAATGAAGTTGTCGAAGTAGATGTCCGAGGTCATGGACCACAGCTCCAGTCCCAGGGCCTTGAACGGTGTCATCCTGAACGGCTGCAGGTCCTCAAAGTAGTCGGGGTTATCGATTTTACGCGGCTTCCAGACTCCCTGGGGAGAAGATTGTGGATGAAACGATTAGAAGGAAAGGAGCCCAACGCGTCTTCAGCTGCAGCTCCAACAAAACACTGATCGCTGTGGTGCACTGAATAAAAAACCCAATCACATGAATGATAAGCTGGAGGTCAGCCGTTACCTGATAGTTGGGGTTGTCCACCAGAGCAGCTTTCCACTTGCCCTTGTACCGAGGGTTGTTGATCATGGGACGCTTCCACTCCCCACAGCCGGGGGCAGTCTCACAGGCCGGGTTAGGAACCTGCGGGGCCTCCCACTCACCGTCCATCTCCTCGTCCCTGCACACAAAGGAGGACGAGCCGTCAGACTGGATTGTTGCTTGGTAGGGCAGTAAAGTCCGGTTTGACTGGTTGGGCTACAGCCCTTGTTTTTGTATTATTAGTATAAACAACATGATTCAAAGACAAGTTGGGGGAAGTTTCTTTACCAGTCTTCTGGTTTCTCAGCATTGGGGTCGGGGATGAACTCGAGCTCATCATCCAGCCAGCCTTCTGGCTTCGATGCGTCCGGGTCCTCGATCTTTGCAGGTGCTTCCTCGTCCCTTGGACACGCACATGAAACATAAAGAGCTGTTAAATAAAGTCACCGACATCTTCCGTCTCAAATCATCCAGTTTTTAGAACTCAACATCTTGGATTAGGCTGAAATTGAAAGCATAAAATACTGATATTTATAAAGTATATGTGACATTTTATCTTCATATATCAAAAACATTCCAAGGTTTTTGTTTTTTTTAAATTGCCCGTTATGTCACTTTCTGCACATTTTTTTTTTGTACGTTAATATTTGAGGCTACGTTTGAACGACAATACGTTGGGAACTATTAAAGCTGGAAGCCCGACGTTTTTACAGTTACTTCTCATAATGCCGTTGATTCAGAATCTGAGTGAACAAGCTCTGAAAGTCTGATCTTTGAGCTCACATCAAAAAACAAACTGATGCAGAAGTCAACCAGGGATGTTTTCTGGATCATACGTAGCTGCAGGTCGTAATTATGGAAACAAAACACAGAATACTTGACATGTTGTCGTCTAAACAGCCTCAAATGTCAACGTGCAAAAAAAACATGCTGAAAATGGGTCAATGGCAATTAAACAAAGAAAAAAAAAAAAACTAGACCAGGGCTCCAGACTGCCACGGTGTTTTGAGATTGTGCGAGTTGAAATTTCAACTGGTGGCTTTGGTGACTGACGATCACGAAGCTGTTTTGGTGTCACTGTGACCAGAAGCTACTGCGTTAACCACAGCGGGGGAAAGTAGTGCCGTTATAACTCCGATGGACTGTGGTGTTTACAGTTAAAAGTGCGGTCTTCTCATGAAATGTGGGGCGCACCTGCATTCGCTGTTTGCTATGAGCGGGACATGTACAGTCGTCCTCAGATGTGTTCACACCCTCCCGTTAGAGAAGGAAATAAAGAGCTGAGATAAGTTGAAACTGACAACAGGAAAAATCATGACGTTGCTTTTGAATTGTGCTTCAACAGATATATATATATATAAAAATTACAGTCATTTGAGGACGACTGTAGGTGAGCTCCACGTTGCACAATCTCGGGTTCATCTCAGATAAATCTGACACAAAAACGCTCCAGTTGAACTATTTAACGTATTTTTTCCGTCACACGCCGGTCTGAGCGCACCAAGCAGCAGCTACCACAGCTTGCAACGTGGGGCGTTTAGGGAACGTCTGTAAATTATAGCGTCTATCGATAAGCAGATGTTCAACAAGTGATGTGTTTCTGCCTGCGACAGGGTGGGAGGTGTGTGTACATATACATGCATCTCAAGCTAAGATTTTACACACACCATTTATAATATCCATAATTTATCCATAAACTATGACCACTCTACTCGTGTGGTTTCCCCCAGAACAGCATCAGGGTTTTAGCGGTGACGTCCCGCCCCCCCGTCAGCGAGCTGTTCTGTCTAATAGCGTGGAAGCTCACCAGTCATCGGGCTTCACGGCCTCCGGGTCGGGAATCTTGGCCCTCTCGTCCCAGTCCTCCGGTTTGGAGTCATTCGGGTCGTCGATCTCTTTGGGCGGGTTGACCGGCGGCACCACGTCTATCAGCAGGTTGCCGCGGCTCACGCTCGACTGGTCGATCAGCATCTCGTAGCTGTTGTCTGGGTTCAAGACTGACAACAGACGGAGGTGAGAAAAATAGATGAGAAGCTTAAAAAGGCACATGAAAGAAATCCTGATCTTCATGGTCTGAGTAGACCTGAAACATTCATATGAACTAGGAAGGTTTGTTGACTGTCCAAGAGCTTCTGGTTGCATCTATATCAGATGTGCGTCGCTTTTGATAAAAGCATCTGCTAAATTCGAGGTAATTCGCTAAATACGAGTCTAAAACCGTCATTCTACCCTGATTTAGTCGTTTCTTTACCACTTCTGATAGTTAGGGTTAGCTCAGGCAACAAAACAGCCCCGGAGCATGATGCTGCCACCTCCATGCTTGACGGCAGGTTTGGGTTCTTGGGGTTAAGAGAGACATATTTCTGCTCACGGTACCCATTTAGCTAACCTCTTGCTTCATCTGACCACAGATCTTTCCTCCAGAAGGCCTTTTCTTTGTCCATGCTGCTTCTAGAGACAGAGCTTTGTTCTCACATGGCCACCACTCAGCTCACGGCAAAGTAAAACACTGACACCTGGGTTGCAGAAGCTTCTAATTCATTGAAGATCTGCTTTTAGGTGATTCTTGGTTGACTCTTGACCATCCTGAGCTCCTCAGACTATTCCTGAGTTTATGAATGGATCAAATGGTCCCAGTTTAAACCGGCTGAGAGGAGTCAGCAGCTGTAGTCAATCGACAGCTTCAAACGGCACAACTGATAACTCAAGCTGCTGTATGTACATTTTTGAATAAATCTATGAAAGAACCTAAATGCACGAATGTTTTTTGTGACAAGGACACGTTCAAAGAAAACTATAAGTTGTAGGACTCATTGGGAACCAAGATTGCCACCTTCATGGAAACTGGAGTTCGTAACTGAACCTACCCAGCGTGTAGAGGTGGGTCCTCTTGTCGGTGTAGAACTTCTTCAGGTCCACGTCGGCCCTCTTGGCGTGCTTCTCCTCCATGTCTTTGTTCAGAGGATTCTTGTGGCGGAAGATGAGGTGCAGCTTGTAGTCTTCGCCGCATTTGTCGGGTCCGAACATGATGGTGTAGGCCGTGCGGTCGTGGAACTGCTCCTGCAGCGCAGAGCGGGAAAGGATTTAGGTAAAGTCCAGACAGACTGAACTAGCTGATGGAGAACATAAAACATGTACCGACCAGATTGAGGTCACCAGTGTCTGAGAGCAGTTTGATGTAGGCTCCACCACAGTCGATCCCATCCTGGAAGTTCACCTCATACCTGCAACCAGAGCACAGCTCAGCAGTCAAACACGTCCTCAGCTTTACTTTCTACACAAACAAGAGGAAGACGGTGAACTTACTGAATGACCAGCGGCTCATCCTGGAAGACGAAAGGTTTGTCCAGCATCGCAGCGATGGCGTGATGCTTGGCCCGGGACTTGAGCACCAGGCCTTGGTCTCCTGGAACCTTGTTCTCCTTCAGCTGCTCCACAGCCCACTTTCCTACAGCCGGAGAGGGAACGTACAAGCGACTCGTCTTAACTCTTAGTGACTTGTGTTAGGCACCACAACACCACGGCACATTCCTCGTATGTGAAAACCTACTTGGCAATAACTTATCGACTCCTAAAAGCTGCTGGTGGGTTTGAAAAGCAGGTGATCGTTTTTTTAAATGGCAAAGCGACACCATTTATCACCCAGAAACTGGAAAAAATGAAGAAACCCCCCCCAAAAAACAGTCTTTGAAGTACTCATCTGAGACATGCCGCCAGAATCAAGTTTATCTTAAAATCGTGACAATTCATCAAAATCTCTTCAATCTACTACTTATAGTTTTGCACAAACAAAACTCTGCACACAAAAAAACTGTACTTTTTTGCAAAACTGTGACGCCATTAGTGACTCAGCTCTTTTTTAAATTCTCAGTTGAACTGCAGGCGGTGCGACACAAAGCACAGAGGAGGCAAATACGGAAAGAAATTAAAAATACGAGCAGTAAAACATCTATAGTGTGTAGAGCCACCACTTCTTTTCTTTTTCAGCAAGGTAACAGCTGGACCAACATAGTACTTCACAGGATTTCAAGTTTTATTTATTTTTTAAATAAGAAATTCAACTATTTTTTATTTTTATTATAATTTATGGTATTTTATCTGTGTCATATTGCAAAAAAAAAACATTTCTGGTTTCATAGAGGTAATGCAGTGACAAATTAGTTTAAAAAAAAAACTGCTGAAATTTCAGAGGGTTAGCTATGATTCTTTCATTTTAAAAGATATTTATATAGTATTTAGACACGTTCACTGACTTAACGTATTCTATCTTAATGTTTATGTTTTTCCATATTTTGCATTTCCTGTTTCTCTACTGTTGGAAAAGTGAGTTAACTGGTTCTTCTTGTCCAAAACATTTCATGCGTAGTTGACTTTGCGTTAACCTGCATTTACCAAACAAACAAATGTGAGATAAGTTGGGTTGTATGTTTTGTCACAACACTCGGCAGAGCGTCACCAACGCTGCTGAAGCGTCCGACCTCAGATTCCAGCTTTTACGCTGCCAGTTAAAGTGTTACTACGACCGACAGGAACGTCTGAGCCCCAAAATCTCATCTGAATCCTACACGAGCAAAGTGTGTGAGGTTAGAACAAAAGCAGCCGCACACATCTGGAACGGCAACAAACCGTCGTATTTGGCGATGTCGTCGTCCGCGTCCTCCTTCATCGTTTTCGACAGCTGCCATCTGTGGACATCAACATCAGAAAACGCTTCGTCAGGCGCAAAAACACACTCTGACCGTGTAAATTCATCACATTAAAAACAAGTCTACGCTGTATTTTTAGCAGCACTCTGCGATAAATGTGTCGTGCACCACCTGTCCAGGGTCCCGTCGTCAAACGTCTCTGCGAAGTAGACGTCTCCGGTGGGAACGGGAGTCTTGTATGTGACCTGCAGACATTTTTAAAGATACGACACGTTGCTCAACACGAAGCTTCTGACATACATGAACTCCATACTACCAGGTTCATTCCTGACCTGGAAGGAGACGTTGGCATCACTTCCTGTCGTCCCGCTCCTGGCTTCCTTGTTGTGCGTCTCCTCAGACTGCTCTTCGTCGTCCATCACCGTTGCTTCCTCTTCCTCCTCCTCCTCCTCTTCGTCCTCCGCCATCAGAACCTTCAGCTCCTCCTCGTCCAAGCCCATGTCGTCGTCGTCGGCGTCCAACACGTCGGCCTCCGGATGCCTCTCGTGGGCCGCCGCCGCCGCCACGGCCAGGCAGGAGAGGAGCAGCAGGCGCCACAGCCAGCCTCTGTCCAGCTTCATCTGCGGCGGGTCGGAGGACAAAAATGAGGGATGAGCAGCGGAGTGAGGAGGGTGTGGTGTCGGGAGGAAGGGGGGATGGGAGGAGGAGGCAGGTGTGAGCGAGATGGGTTTTATTTATGGAGAGCGACGGGGAGAGTGTGTGTCGTGTCAGCGATATAAATAGACGAGACGAGTGTGTGAAGTGACGGAGCGATGAGTGGGTTAGAGGAGAGGGGTGGAGGTTACATGAGCGCATCGGTGTCGTCACATCACATCCTTATCTCGTGTTCTCCTGGAAAGAACAAACATGAAATCTGCACTTTCTCCTCCTGTCCCACCAGATAAATCACACGCTCAGCAGACGCCACAAACATCTGCCTCCTTAAAGTTGCAGCCACTTCTTCCTCCACATGCTCGCTAATCCTACTCATTTTCGGCACTACATGCACAGGATTAAAGGAACCGCACACGGTAATCTGCTGAATAACGGCTCCGTTCATGGATCCATTACAGCGAACGGCGGCTTCAATGACCTCCTATTGATCGGCCCGCACCTGCTCGCTCTCGTCGTGAGCAGCGGGAAATGAGGAGCATCACTGCAGGCGGCGTGCATTCCTTAATTCCTAATTAACTTTAATTCCCATGCCGGTGTTGTTCTGTTTGCTGACAACAGAGCGCAGGAGGATCAAAAGGATTGTGATGAACATACGGGAGAGAGATGAGGAACAAGTGAGAGGCACCAAGATGTTGCTCATTTATTCCCATCTCTGGTTCGAGCACAAACAACAGATTCTAAGAACACTCGACCGTGCATTTTTCTGGCAGATATTTGATTTGCAATATGATCGTTTAAAGTCGAGCTTCGGTTCAGTATTTACGGTGCGATGGATTTGAATCGTGTGATGGAGCATTAACTCATGAACCACCGTTAAATCCACGACATGGATTGGTAGAGTCCAGCCACATGTGCAGCAGGATGAGGCTTGTGTTTATGTTTTTACTGCAGAATAAACTCTGCTCCCAGCCCGTCCATTCCTAACAGTGACTTCCATAAAACAGGTAGCTGCTGCTTAATCTGTCAAACATGAAATAAACTCTTTTGCTAATCGATTAAAGAAATAAAACATCTAAAGTCTCTGATTCCAGGTTTCTAAATTGGAATGTTTTCTGGTTTTGTTCCTCCTCTTTGACAGTCTTTGTAAAACATTGTACCACCTTTCGCCCCATTTTCCAACAACTCACAGCCCGAACAACCAATTAAGGAACTAATTGACCGATTAATCGACAGTGAAAGTAACTTGCGAGGTAAGTAAACAACCTTCCCGTTTGGCAGATTTCACCTCCCGTAAATCATCTTCAAACGTCTGGACATCAGGAAGGCAGCGAATGGATATCAACAGCTGGAGCTACGTAACCGACCTTCTGTCTCCACAAAAGCAGGCGACTGATGCTCGTTTACGTCGTCTGTTACCGCATCGATTGTTTATCTCAACGGATCAATTCAGAAACATCAGATGACAAACGTCTTCTTTTGTCCACAACTCAAAGATGTTCGGTTTTGTGTCGTAACAGAGAACAGAAACCACCGAGTTGTCGAATATCTGAACAGCTGACAGCTAGTTGATGAATCGCTGCTGCTCTTGAGCTGAGAGCTTCTAAGATGTCAAAGGTAAAGCTCTGTGGAGGCGGTAAACTTTAAAACATTAAAAATCAACAACGCTTACCGACAGAATTATGATAATTTGGGTTTTTCGGTGCATCAGCTTCAGGCTATTTGTTCAACAGCCCAACACATCGTTCTCCTTGTGGCGAGTGAATTTAGTCGAGTCAACCGATGCAGGACTTTTGGGGCCACGACCACTTTGAGGTGGTAAGAATTTCCTGCATCGGCTGTTCATAGGTACAGGCGTACTGACGATGGGGAAACAATCGAGTTGCTTAATAACTTTTCAGCATTTTGTGAATTTCTAAGCAGCTCTGTGTGAAGACAAAGCTCGACTCCGCACCACTCTACTCTGCTACATGTGCTGCAGACGGTGCAGAGCGTTGAACTGGAGAAAGATCGTAACGTTGCAGACGCAGCTTTCGTCTCGCTGTCAAACTAAGATTCCTGGTGAAACTCTCAACATGTTTTTAATGGCTGTGGTTGGTCTCAATGGTCTTAATATTTTATTTCAGCAACTGATCTTTTCTGTTGTTATCTTGCAATGTAATACAACTTAATACAGCTTAATTTTCTTTACCAAATTGAGTTTAGCACGTTTTTGTTGCTGCATGACTAATAACATGTGTTTAAATGTGCCACATAAATACACTTGACTTAATAAAGGTTACTCCAAACATCTTTTTCTGTTTTGTAAACATAAATGCAGACACCAACATATCTGTGAGAGGACGATATCGACATAAAATGGTACAAAATGGCTCCAAAATGGTCCAGAATGACTCAGGGATTTTCCAAAATGAGCTAAAAATAGTCAAATATTTCACTGGAGACGTCAGGAACTCCCAAAGTGCATTTCAGAGACAAAACATTCACTCACAATCATCAATAAAAGAAAAGAAAAAAACAAGCTGCAGCTTAAGTCAGGTCACTGTTTTGTTTCAGTCCAATACAATGCTGTGATAATCATCAGCTCTGAGTGTTAATATTCAGGGTTTGACGCTCTGGTCTCCTCATATTTAGGTTTTTAAAGCTGGTGGCTGCAACACAAACCTCTGAAGGTGTTTTCATTCAGGAGAGTTTCTGTCTTCAATAGAATCACCCTTGATTAGAATGACATTTACATGCACGCAGGAGGAGGATGTTTAATATTTAGGGTACTAATAGTAAAACCACAGGCTGAGTTTTGATGCAGATTGTCCTTCAGTATGTTTATTTATTGGACTCTTAACCGCAGTTCTGTTGTAATAATTCCATAATTACCAGCCAAGCAAAGGAAATTTTATCTTAAATTCACAGTGAGTGCTTTAAAAAGCAGCCAGGCCCTTTATCTAACTTATCTACACCATCACTAATTCCAGCTCCAGCCTGCTGATCGGTTTCAGACCAGCGCGCTGAGGCTTCATCTCCGATCAGCCTCCGGTTTGCAGCGTCAACACGCTCCTTGTTCCTCACATTCTCTATCTCGGCCAAGCTTGATAAATTAGGAACGCAGGGACTACAGAATAAAGGTCACAGGACCGCTCAGTGGAGCTAACATGGCTGCCACCGAGCACTGCAACGTCCAAACTCCTGCAGATGACTGGCTCTGGCTGCAGCACCTGCTCCGCTAGCCGCCGTTAGCCCGCTAGCTAGCCGCACGGCGCGCTCATCACAAACAGCAAACGTTAGCATAACAGAAGCTTAGCTGCTAAACCAGCGGGCTCACACCAGACAGTCCCCGCATTAGACACACGTTGAGGCTAGAAACAGGAACTCTGAGCTTCAATTTCACCCTGAAACGGAGAGTAAAGGGCTGTGGCAGGCTGCAGAAATGAATGGAGCGCTGCCGTTAGCTCGCTACGTTAGCAGCGCTGTCGCGCAGTGATGGAGCGGCTGAATGAGCGCACACAAACAAACCTTTGCGCCTCTTCAAGCTGCGGAGAAAAGCCCCTCGACGAGAACCGCTTCTCCGCTTCTTCGCGCACAAAACACACGGAGACGGTGGCGCGGTTGTTCCGCCGCGGGAATCACTGGAGGCGCGGGAGGGACGAAGGCGGCTAACGGCCGGAGAGGATGGACCGAGGAGGAGGTGACAGCTCGGCCGGATAACGGCGCTCGAGGACTGCGAGACGGTCCCGGCTACTGAGCATGCGCAGGTCGGGCAGATGGGGAGCGCGAATGGTGCCTTCAGGTGCAAATTATTGAGTCAAGACAATCCAGCGTGTTTATACAGCACATTTAAAATAAGAACTAAAGCGCCTTCTAATACAGATATTAAAGTAATAATAATACAAATGTTCTAAAACCCCACAATATTATATACAACACACTTTTATCTGACTAATTTAAATATTACAGTTGAGTAAATACAAATAAACTTGATTACTTTAAATATTACAAAACTGCCGTAATTTTTTCGCTTTTGGGGCTTTTGGTTTGTTTTTTTGTTGTTGTTGTTGTTTTGAAACAAAACGCATTTGAAGGAATGATGAATACTTTCAAATATTAAATTCTACCGACAGATAAATGGAAAACTGGCCAGTTAGAATCGGCTAAATTCGGTGAGACATTGAAGGCATCAGAACATCGAGCTGCGCCGGGATTTCAAAATAAAAGCTCACGGTTAGTAAATTCTATTTCAAAACGTTCCGGTTACTGAATGCAACATAAAACATATCTATTATTCTATTATTGAATCAAAACGAGCGCGCCGACATAATATAAACAACAAACAAGCTAAATAATAAAGCCGACATATTTGATCTGCTTTTACTGTGGCGGGTCGTGTGAATGACGTCCCGGGGTAAAGGTGAGAAAACACTGATGGCGGCCACATGTCTGTCCGAGCGCTGAATCAAATCATTGTGTTATAATACCTGTGAGCTGCAGGATGAAGGACACGCCGCTGTCGAACTGTGAGCGGGACTTTTTGCTGAAAGCCATCGAGGAGAAGAAGGTGAGCGGATGTCCGGACTCTGAGGCTTCATGTTCCATTCTGAGATGAAACGAGAAGTTGTTTTCATTCAGTCTTTTCTGTCCTGCAGCGGCTGGATGGACGGCAGACCTACGACTACCGGAGGATAAAGATCACATTTGGGACCGACTATGGGTGCTGCTTCGTGGATCTGGGAAAAACCAGGTTAAAAAAACAAAACAGTTTTATCAGCCTGCTACCAGGTCGTCAAAATCCGGTTCTATGGAGTTCTATGGTTCTGGAGAGCTTCTATGTGAACCGTTCAGAATGAGCAGGTGCACCTCAGTCCATCAGGTTTATTTACTTTTTTATTCAGCTGCTTCTGCAAACTTTACAAAATCTAGGCGACGAACAAAACTCACCAAATGTTCTGCTGCAGGAGTGAACAGGAGGGTGTTGATGCACTGCCAGCATCTGGAGCTGAACATCCAGTGGGTTGCTTTAATAATTCACAACACTGTCACCACAACTTTCCCTCTTTCTTTTTTAAGTGTACCATGTGGTGTGGCTAATGTAGCTAACATTAGCATCAGAGCTGTGTCAGAAAAGGTCGAGACTTTCATTTAAAACCAGTAAACCAGCACTGAGAGGGTTACTGAAGCCTGTTGTGCTTCAGTTCAGCCTAAAGTCAGCTGTTAGCTTCTCTCCTGCTCTCTGTGCTCACGTAAACTGATTAAACTCAACCGAAATCCCAATAAAGTTGTTCTGATTTACATCGTTTTCCTGTTTCTGTTGTCAGACAGCAGAACGAGTACAAACTAGAGACTGAAAGGCAGCCAGCAGTATTTTTAAACCACTTAAATACTGATTTTATTGCCACAATATCATCAGACAAACTGTGTAAAGACAACTGCATGAGAGTTTATTTATAATTCAGAGAGAAACGTAGAAGCACCGACTCAGACCTGACTGTGGTCACTGTGTGGTTTCAATGACACGTCAGTTAACTGTTCATCCCTACATGATGCACAAACCCAGAGCTTCCTGTGCTCTCCACCTCAGTCATGCTCTAACTGTGATCTGCAGGGTCATGGCTCAGGTGTCCTGTGAGCTGGTGGCTCCCAAAGAGAACCGACCCAACGAGGGCATCATGTTCTTCAACATCGAGCTGTCGCCGATGGCCTCGCCGGCGTTCGAGCAGGGAAGGTGAGGAAGTGATGGTGTTTACATCAGACATGTGAAATGCAGCTTATTGCTTCTGGACAGGTTTCTGTGTTCAGCAGTTCCTGAGATGTTTTTGTTCAATCGGAGCCTCAAATTTAATGTGCAGAAGCAGACATCGTTCTATCAATGTGATGATTTCAGGTGAACTTAAGGAGGCTGCAGTTGTTCAAACATCCCCAGAAAAACTAAATACTGCTGTCAGATGTTTCCAGCATCAGCTCCAGTTGAGGGACTCGTGACTCTGATCTACCAGAGACCGTAAACCTTCTGCTCGGTTTTCTTTCCCTGCAGACAGTCGGAGCTGTCGGTGAAGCTCAACCGGCAGCTGGAGAGATGCCTGAGGAACTCCAAGTGCATCGACACCGAGTCGCTGTGCGTGGTGTCGGGGAAAACGGTACGACTCGTACGCTTAGATTCCAAACGGGAGAGCGGGACTCTTCTTCATCCTGATGATTTCTTTGTGTGTGACCAGGTTTGGCAGATCAGGGTGGACGTCCACATGCTGAACAACGACGGGAACCTGATGGACGCCTCCAGCATCGCCGCCATCACCGCCCTGTGCCACTTCAGACGCCCAGACGTCGGCATCCAGGGAGAAGAGGTCACGGTGGTGAGTCTTCTGGGAGGAAAAACTCACATGTTGGTGTACTTTTTAGCTTCTCTCACACCGGCTGCCTTTATCTCCTCAGTACAGTCCAGAGGAGAGAGACCCCATCCCTCTGAGCATCTACCACATGCCCATCAGCGTCAGCTTCTCCTTCTTCCAGCAGGGGTAAGACTGTGCAAAATATCTTAACTCCACAAAGTAAATAATGCTCTGTACGGTCGTGATGAGAACGTCTTCTGTCCTCGTGTCGCCTCTGCAGGACTTACCTGCTGGTGGACCCGTGTGAGCGCGAGGAGCGAGTGATGGACGGGCTGCTGATGATCGCCATGAACAAACACCGAGAGATCTGCTCCATCCAGTCCAGCGGCGGCATCATGCTGCTGAAAGAACAGGTGAGAAGACGCGTTGGTCGTTGTAGGAACCCCAGAATTCTCCGAGGACAGGTGAACTAGCTGAATCGGTGCCATTTATCAGAGCAAGACACTAAAAACAGAAGGAATAGTTGAACTTTCAAGTTTCCGACAGTCCCTGAACTTCACATCTGTGACTAAACTTAATCTTCAAATTGTGATATTTAATCAAAATCTGTTTATTCTACATGTTTAAGTTGAACGTTAACCAAAAAGAAAACAATTTGCAGGAACCAGATTTTGTAAAAAACTAAAAATTCCTCTTTCTCAGCACAACCTTGAAGTCACGTGACAAAAATTTTTTTAGAGATTTTCAGCTGAACTGCATCTAAAATGTTGTACAGGTCGGATTTTGTAAAAAACAAAATAATTCTGCCCTCCTTGGCGAGACCATCAGATGAATCAGACTTGTGTTTTTTCTTCTGTGTGGCTGAAGGTCATGAGATGCAGTAAAATCGCGAGCGTCAAAGTGTCGGAGATCACGGAGCTCATCAGTGAAGCGCTGCAGAACGACAAGGCGGCCAGGTGAGTTTGAAGCACACCTGAGTCCTGCTGAGGGGTTTAGAGGCTACATGTAACGTGTTGGACTTTAAATCCTCCAGGAAGGCGGGCGGGAGGTGTGGTTTCGCGGAGTCGATGCCTCAGGAGCGAATCACGGCTCTGAAAACGGACGAGACGCCCGTGGAGACGACGGACGCAACGGAAAGAGCCAATGACATCGTCCAGAGAGCCGAAGCCCCGCCCCAGACGTATCCTGAACAGACTGAGAAAATGTGCTGGTTTTGTTTTTCCTGAGTTTTAGCTTCCTTAACCGAACGCGCCAGGGTGCCGTCTCCGGTGGTGCCGGTCCCAGGTGTGGGCCAGGTGGGGCAGCAGAACACCTGGGGGCTGGAGGAGGAGGAGGAGGAGGATGAAGAGCAGGAGGAGACGAGGATGGAGGAGGATCAGGATGAAGACGAGGAGAGCGGAGGAGGTTAGCTAAGCTTTTATAATGTGGATTAATGCAAAACTTATCCAGGTAGAGAGACACACACACAGAAAACGAGAATTTATTTTGGCTCCCAGGAGACGTGGTGGAGATATCGGACAGCGAGGAGGAGGAGGTGGTGGTTCTTCACCCGGAGACAACAGGCAAAGCAAAGTAAGCGCAGGAGGTTGTATGTCACAGCTGAAGAATGATCAGACTTTTAAGTTTAAATGTTCTTGCTCTCAGGAACACAGGTTCCAGTTCTCACCAGCAGGCGGCAGCAGCGTCCCAGAAGAGGCAGAAAAAGTGACGCAGCAGCAGCAGCTTTAACTCTGAACTTCAGTTTCTAGGTGTTGTTTTTGCTCCCGTCGCATTTTTTTACGACAGTATATTAAATATGCCAAACATCATTCAAATAAATATCTATACATTCTAATTTCTTTCATTATTTATTTTACAAAAATTGAAATAAACCTTGAATCAACATGTGCAACGTTTTTCCACGTGATGGCGACTCTACACACTAGAAATATTTTCCTACTTGCATTTTATTTTGTTTACATACTCGTCTCTCCGAAAACTTCCTGATTTTTTGTCCCGTGACCGTTGGTTGCAGCCGAGTCAGCGATGGCTTCGTGGTTTCACCAAACAGTGCAGAATTTTTTGTATTTTACAGAATCTACTTGGAGCTAACGGTTTATTTGTGGCATTTTTTTTTTAATGAGAAAGTGATTTTTATGAAATATCACGATTTGGCAGATTTCCTAAGGGAGCTGTATCACACATGCTCACTTCTGATTCTGGTTCTGGCTCTGAGCAGTGGTTTTTGGTATCCATGGGGTCCAGTGGGTTAAATCATTCCTATCAACTGTTGTTTGAACCTGTTTGGATCCACTAAGATGCAGCCGATGTTTGCAAATGTACAGAAAATGTATTTTAACAGGTAAAAGACGCCTCGTTTGTCGTGAGCCGAGAAAGAAAAAGATTTGTGTTGCAGATTTTGAATCTCATTAAAAAGGAAGATGCTTTTTATAAAACGTTTCTGGTTGAGTTCAATTTTTGTGGAGCCATTTGTTTTTAAGTTTGATAATCATCGTCCACAACTTTGTGCCTTTTCCGGTTCTATTTTTATATTTAGGTGAAGAAAAACCCAATGCAGGCAGGATGAAGAAACGTCATGACAACTTTTTTTCTTTAAAAAATCTCAAAACTAGAGAAGTTATGAGCAACAACGGTTCAGTTTTCCACGTTGACCCTGTTTTTGTTCTCCAGAATTATTCATAGTGTTCAAAAAGCTCTCATTCTCTAATAGATTTAATTCATATTGTAATTAGTTCTGGTCTCAATTTGCTGTATTCTTGTTTTCTGTCAAATGATTCTTAAAAATCTTCTTTAAAAAAACAGGAATGTGTGAACTTGCAGCGAGTTTTGAACGTGTAAATAAGATTGTGGAGAATATTTGCATCTGTGTGACTGTAGGAAGATGAAACGTCACATTTATCTGCTTCGTCTGCAGTTTATTGTGGACAGAAGGATGCTGTGCACCAGTTGATGCTGGTTCTATACGTGAACAGAAGAATATTTCCCACGTGTTTGCACAACGCATTAGTGCCTTCTAAACACCTTTACACTGTGGCAGCGAGTCTCTAAATGACCAGACTGTTTCTGATGAGCTTTAACACAACAACTATAATCGCTGCAAACAAATGAACTAAAAAACAAGAGAACTCACATGTTCATCCAAACAGCTGTTGCCAGTCCAGGGTTCTGCTGCAGGTGAGTGAGGAGTGGTCACACCTGGACTCAATCCTGTCTATATAAGCTCTGATCAGGCCTCCTCCTCCTGCAGCTGCACTGGACCACCTTCAGCAGCAGAATGAAGCACAGAGCAGCTGTTACATGGTTGCATTGTATTCCACTATATTTGCAATTGAAACTGCAACAAAAGGGAATTTTTGTTTACATAAATAGAAACATGGTCACTATAAACTGATGCAGCACCGGAGAAAAGAGAAAAAAAAGTCAGGTTCCACCGAGATTTGAACTCGGATCGCTGGATTCAGAGTCCAGAGTGCTAACCATTACACCATGGAACCTCCGCTGATGTGCGTCGATAATGCTTCGGAATATATAGTCTATGTAACGCTGTTTATTACTGATTATTGATTAGGTATTGTTGATAGAGGGTGGCGTGTTTTAAATATGTTTGATGCTAAAAGACTTTCTCAGCTGTTACCTTTCTATTAAGGTCTATACGCGGCTTTTCTAAACAGTTTATTTTGTCGCTATGCTATGCTAATCAAGTTTACGTGATTGATCTGGTAAATTAAATGAATGAGCTTCATGAAAAGACGAGCTGGAGCTGCAAAGAAAAGACTCGTTGGCCCGTACGGGGATCGAACCCGCGACCTTGGCGTTATTAGCACCACGCTCTAACCAACTGAGCTAACCGGCCATGTCTCGTGCTGCCGGCTGCACCGTTTAAATAGGAGGAGATACCACGGATTACCTCATGCTAGATGTTGATGGCTCCTGTTAGCTCCTTGTAGCTTCTGTTGTCACCAATTAGCTCCCGATGCCTCCTCTTACTGTCCGTTGGTTCCTTTTAGCTAGTGCTGTCCCCCTGTTAGCACCTACACATTTATTTTAGTTCCAGTCAGCTAACAAAAGAAAACTGATGCTAACTGGAACAAAGAGCTAACTTGGGCTAACAAGAGTAAACTAGAGCCAGTAGCAGCCAAATGAAGCCAAAACAGACTGCCGGGTGTCAATGGCAACTAACAGGAGCGATCTGTAGCCACAAGGAGCTAACACGAGCAATCTATAGCTAACAGAAGCTAACACAAGCCAGCTATACCTGACAGAGGTCCCTAGTAACTAACAGGAGCCATTCGGAGCTAGCTGTAGCTAACAGGCAACAAGTGCTAATTGGAGCTAGCTGTAGCTAACAGGCAACAAGTGCTAATTGGAGCTAACAGAAGCTAACAGCATATCCTCAGTAGCAGCACTGGTACATTCTGTTAGCAACTTGTAGCTTCTGTTGTTCCCTGTTAGCTCCTGGTGGCTCCTATTAGCTCCTTGTAGCTTCTGTTGTTTTATGTTAGCTCTTAATGGTTCCTGTTAGCTCCTTTTAACGTTTGTTGTTTTATGTTAATCTGAGTGGTGATGTAGTGAAATAGTAAAGCAGCAGAAAATGGAAAAAGTAAAGTTCAAGCGCTCCAAGATTGTGCTTAAGCAGAGTACTTGAGCAATTGTACATAAAACAAGAAAATATGTGGTTTTACATCAGCGGGCCAATAAAAGTAATGCAATGAATTATAGAGGAAGTAACATTTACAATATATAAATAATAGAGTAAAAGACTACAACTTCATGGTCTAGTTGGTCAGCTTGAGACTGGACAACACCCTTTAGCTCTTCATCCATCCATCCATTAGTAGAATGGTAGAAGCAGGCTAAGCAGGTGATTCCAGATGTTCCTCTTCCTCAGCAACATTTTCCAGGTCCTCCTGGGGGATCTTGAGGTGCTCCCAGTCCAGCTCTGGGTCTACCTCGACCTGCACAGGAAACTCATTCCAGCTGCTTGTATCTCATTCTTCCAGTCGCTGCCACACCTCATGACCCTCGATGAGGTTTGGATGGAGCAGCAGATGGAGAGCTTCGCCCTGATCTTCACCGTGACCGTCTGGTACAATGGTTGCATTGTAGCTGACGGTGCACCAATCCGTCCGTCCAGCTCATCCTTCTGCATCCCACGAACAAGCTCCACAGATACTTGAACTCCTTAAACTCCACCTGCAGGGACAGACCTGAGGAGCGAGGTGTACCGATTGCAGACCGATTCTAACAAACATCCCTTTCTGAGAGGGAAGGAACTGGAGCCGGTGCAGGAAGTGGAGGTGTAGCAGTGCTAGCTAAATATAGCTGGGCTAACCTCGATGCATATCAACACTTCTGGAACCAAATTCCTAGAGAGCAGCTGGACTCCTTTTCTAGAGTCCAGTTATCCAGACATTGATTAAAACCCACTGTGGCTCCTTTTTACTGCTGCAAACTCACTGAACGACATTTAATTTAAAGACAACTGTTGACCTAAAGGTGTCTGAAGCTGTGGATATTCTCTTTGTTTATCAGGCCCACAATACAAAGACTCATTGATCAGAGGTGGACCTGAGACGGACTAAAAATGCTCCAATAAGTATTTACTTCTACACACGGTGAATCAAACTGGACATCACAAGATACAGACAAGAACAAAAGTTTATCATGTGTATCTTGGCAGACTGAGTTTCCAGTGACTCCTTTCATTCTTAATTTAAATAGAGCCCGTTTTATGCACTCGTTACACTCAGTCACAAACACCACAAGTCTGAGGAGTTCAGCAAAGATCTCAGAGATCAAACCAATGAGTTGAGCAAGTCAGAAAAGTCACCTGGAGCCATTTCAAAGCAGCTTCGGATCCCAAAATCACCCGTGCAAGCAATCGTTCCCAGAAACATCAGATTTTGTGGTACCTATAATAAAGAAACATGGATCTCAATGAGTTATAGGAGTCAGTGGAAACTCAAGACTGCTCTGCTATACGGGGTCTTTACAAGAGAATGTAGACTTTCCTTCCCGACTGTAGATCTTGCAGCTTCTCGACCTTTTCTCTCCTGTCATGTTCTCAGAATCAAGATAATGATCACTAATGAGGCATGGTGGTGGTTTCTTCAAAAGAAATTCAATTCTCAGTATGACATAGCTTCACTTCCTAAACTTTAAATGAACCGTTCAAGCGACGGAGATGCAAACCAAGGTTTGTTTTCAAGATTCAAGACCTTTATTCGTCACAGACACAGTTACACACAGCACAACGGGCAGTGAAATGCATTTAGCACCTGTTCCAGACCCAAATAATAATAAGAAGAAGAATGTGCATGTGGTGGACAAACTCCTGATGTTGTCTAATCCGTCACTGGCTAGAAACACAGGAAGAGATCCATTTGCACGAGCCTGGGTGGTTTTCTAGCTCTGCCCAGATAAGCTCTTATCGTCACGGTGCATCATCAACAAACCGCTCAGCTCTGGAGGTGTGTTAGCATGTGTGTGTAAACGAGCATGTGTGTGTAAACGTGTAGGAGGAGGAGGGGCGTTGGAGGTTTCTATAGGTTATCTCAACAAACTGCTGTTTGCTTACAGGTGGAGCGACACACGATCTGTAGAAAACAAACAGTAAAACCTTTGGAGCAGATTATACGACCGATCAGGGAGCCACAGCCAAATCTGCTACAGTTAAGCCCCAAACGTCCATGACCACACCGAGTCTGGATTCCCATCTGACCGACAGGTTTATTCTGGCTGAACATGACCAACAACAGACATTCTGAGAAGGTT